GCTGCCCTTGCTGCCCAGCTCGACCCGCAACACAGTTCTCGTGACTGCATCGCGAGACCAGCCACTTCGCGGATCCAGCTTCAAGCACGACTCGGTTCGACACTATTCTTGAATCTTGGATTCAACGCAAGAAATCCAGGCCATGCTCCTTGGCGTGGTCCGTCGGCACCTCGACCTCGCCAGTGAAGTGCCGTGCTCTCGAGGTGCAGGTATGGTGGTTGGCTCGTGACCCCGATTAAGCCGCATGCGGTGCATGGGCTTTTTGATCTACGGCAACTCTGCGTCTGCAGCCTATTCAGAGCTGTTGTTGTCGGTCCATGCTGCTTGATGCAACACCGCTCTTCATTCACCACTGTTGGAGTGTCTGCTGTCTGAAACCGTACAACAGCTGCAGACAAGTCCCTTGAGCCGTACAGCCATTTTGTCTGGGGATTCTAGGGTGCACGGTTCAAGACTCAAGGCCCAGGGGTTTATTTAGGACCTAGGATGCAGGGTCCCGGTTTAGGCTTCTAGGGTTCAGGAATCGGGCTTTCAGGATTTTTGCAATAATGGTGGCCTGCCACCCGGACTGCATAGTTACCCCGTCAGTAACAGCACGCAACTGGCAACGACCCTCTGCCCCCCCCCCTTGTGCGCAATGCGCGCAAACCTCTTCCTCCTCTTCTTTGCCGGGGCGCTTTGCGCAGGTCCTCGGTCGAGACTTGAGTCACGGGTTTATAGGAGTTTAAGCTTCGTTCCGCGTTTTAAACTGCCCCTTTCCCGTCTCGCTCGACCCGGGAAGCCGAGCGCGGCTGTCTGCTGACTGACAAACTATATGGAATGGCACAGACTGAATGCTCTCTCACTGTCACTGTGCGACACTTCATCAATCAAGGCAGTTCAACAGGCCCTAGGGTTTAGAGTTTAGTGTTTTAGTGTTGAGGGTTTAATGGGTTGAGAGTCACGACTTCTGGCAGAGGTTCAAGGTGTCGTCATTTCTGGAATAAACCCTGGACCCTAAATTCCTAAAGCCGAAACTCCAAAGCCTAAACCCCCAAAACCCTAAATCCTAAACCCCAAAGCCAAAACTCTGGGCACCAAAACCGAACCCCCAAAGTTTCAGTTCCAGGCCTGTAGAAGAGGAAGGCGATGAAGAGAATGCTGAAGGTGAACATCTTCAGGGATCCCTCAGAAGCCTGCAGCAAAGGCTAGGCCTCCAAACCCCCGCCCGCACGGACGAAAATCTTATCGTCCAAGCTTTTGTATCTACCGTCGGCGGCATGACAGATCTGAGAACAGACGGACCACCAAGGAGGCGCCGACGTTTTGGGAAGCGGTTTGTGCAACGAAGACACCACAGAAACAATATCACGACTATAGCAACCATCAAGGTCCTCGACTAAAACCGAAAGATGCTCGCCCAAGCTCATCTCAAAAAGGGTGCCCTTTTTCCTACTATTTGGTTTTAATAAGGGAGCCCAAAAAGAAAAAAGGGCAACAAGGTCCTGCTGGGCAACCTAGCCTATTGTAGTCATGTCAACTCAAACTAGCAAGCTACAAAGTTTCACGTGGCCCGGCCTCCGATGGAGATGGCTGGAAAAATGGCCCCAAGACCTGGGACATGGCATGGACATAATACTATGAATATAAGCATCATCATAAGGATACAAATCATAACAACAACAATAACAAAACTGACAATACTAATAATAAGACTACTCAAAATAATAAACAGACTGATATGGATAATGATGATATGAAAAAATCGCTATAACACATAGTAACAACAATAGAATACTCGCAAAAAGCTGGATCATGGGAAGCACAGTCTCCAGCACTCGGATTCGCGGAGTTCCACATCTCGTGTCGAAAAGAACTGCAGCCGCTGACTTTCCGGAGTCTTGTGGTAACTTGACAACGGCTTAGAATCTAGGGTTTAGGGTTTCAGCACTCACAACTAGGACAATCCTGGCGAGGAGAACGAGTCGGGTCTAGGGTTGGCCGCTGTGAGCTCGATGGTAAGCCCTATGCCCTCAACCGCTGCTTGGGACAATCAGCGCTGCTCAATTTTCTCCAGCCTTCTAGCCGAGGAAATGCATGAGGCCAAACACCGTGGAAATCTTAGTGACGCAGTGGATAGCCAGAACTGCAGGCTAGGTCTGTACAGATCAGCGGGCAGTGCTTTTAGCACAGGAGCGCCGCCTAGACTCAAAACTGTTCGCAGTAAAAGTTGCGCTGCCGTTGCCATTCCGTCCCTAGCATGGGTAGGGAACCTCTTGCAATTGCAAGACGGCATGTACGGCCACGAACAAACAAAACGGACTAACATTACACTACGTCCCATCATGGCTTGAGCCATGGTAGCGAAGCTGCAGCACTCCAGCTGTGTCCTGCTACTGAAGCACCCAGGGGTGTGCTGCACTCTTCACGCCGCTCTGGAGGCAAGCTACAACGTTGAAAAGGCGTGCTTGGCAGAGGGCTTCAAACTTAAACGGAAACATATGCGATGATGTGATAATGCTGGGCCAGCCAAACATTGCGCATGGCTGTTTAGCGGGCCATCGGCGGCAGATGCCTTCTTGCTCACCGTCACACACACACGCTTCAACAGAGTGAGTTGTCGATGCAGGACCCGGTGGTCATACGACGCCTCATGGATTTCGGAGAGACGCGGACCTCCTCTCGGCATCGAAGGGGCTCGAGCTTCTTGGGCTGTGCCAGCGGGCGCAGAACCGTGAAAGCATCGTCCTTCACTTCCCTAGGGCTTGCCATCGAGTTTCTGGACTCCAAGCTTTTGGTCCGTTGAACGCTTGGCATGAAAGAAGCATAGAATGCCTCAATGGGACCATGCTCCTGGGCCAGGGCGAAGTACTTGAGATACCACTCCGTAAACTCCGTGAAGTCCACCGATCCATTGCCATCCAAGTCCACCTGAAGATAGGTTCTTTCGTGACTAATCAAATTTCGCGGAATATCTCCAAATATGCGCTCACCAATATACGTAACGAGCTCTACAACACTCTCCAGACAGCACATATAAACCATGCCGCACCTCATGCCAGAAGCGTTCAATGCGATTCGGTGGGAGGTCTGACTTGTTGGCGCAATGTAGGAGCGTGTACATCATCGACTCAAACTCATTGTACTCAATCAGGCCTGACTTGTCGGTATCAAAGTGGTCGAACTGCAGCTTGACCTTGTCAAGCTCGATGCAAGAGCAATCGTGTTTCTTGGCAAGCTCGAGAGTCAAAGCATCTGCACTTTCCTTTGCGGGGTCATTCTCCTGTCTTCAAGAGCCGAGGTGTCAGAAACCGTCGTGTGCAAAGCTACTATAAGGACTCCGCTTGCGAAGTCCTACGTACATCTACAGAAGCCTAATGCCTGGAACAAGAGTCTCCTGGTCATGCATGAAGATGAAGATGTGGTCCCGATACCAGGCCAAGAACCGCTTGGGGCTCACTGGTCCATCTGCTGCCTGTCATCGCTGCAAGTTGTAGTCCTACCAGAAATTCTCTCCGCTACAGAAACCCCTGAACGCATCACAAAATGCAGCAAGGCTCACCGAAAGCTGCCCTGAATCAAGTCACCATGTTTAGCCGTCTTTAGCCAACAACCACAGCATCAGCAACCATACAAAAACGAAAACAAGTTGTCCAGCAAGCATGCAAGGGGGATCTAGACTCCTCCGTGATCCATCGTTATCCTCAGTGGCAAAAAAAGCGGGACTCAATGTATGCAGGAAACACCAAATGCTTCTGGAATGGGGTTGTGAATCCAGCATCGAGCAAGAGTCGAATGCTTTCTCCTATGAGTTTACAGAAAAAACGGTTGGCTCCAATGGGAACCAAATCCGAGAGGAAAGCACACGAGCAATTACAGAGCTCTGGAAGACACAGAAAAGGCAAACACATCGAATAGTGATGTCCAAAGAAACCTCTAAACCCTGTAAGCCTTAAGCCCTGAACCTTATGAAACTGATTCGTAAACTTTTGAGTCCCTGAAAAAGTTCTGGCACTCGGAGCCTGGCCAGAAGCATCCCTTCAACAAAAGAGCCCACAACACCGTAGGTAAGGAACATACCTTGAACATACGGAGATTAGCTTTTGATGCTTCGGGGCTCCGTCGACCTTGCATGCTTAGTTTTGAGCATGGTGAGAAAAAATACCCTAAACCCTATGAGCCCTAAACCCTACCCCATAAATTCAAGGGGTATCGGGCCCTAGACCCTAAACCCTGAAAAAGGGGGTATCGGGCATCGGGCTCTTTGGGCCTAAACGCAAGGAACCCGAAGAGAGCTCGGAGCCCAACGCCCCAAACGCAGCCCCCGAGCCTCCCAAAACAGGAAACCTTCGAATATTTAAGGGACTGAATAAGTATAACATGCTTTTTGGGGATGACGTAAAGTATGGTATGGTATGGTATAGTATGGCCTCATTAACTAAACTTAGAATTAGAACAAAGAAGCCCGGAGGAATAGTATTAATCTCTCTCTTCTTCATCAGGGCATCTCTCTCTCTCTCTCTCTCTGCCGCTCTCTTCCACAGTGCCGTGGTGCAATCCTGAGGCTTCTACGTCACAGGAAACATGAACCTTAAACCCCTAAACCCGAAGCCCTAAGCCTTAAACTAAACCCTGTAAACTGTAAACTCGAAGCCTAGGGCCATGAAGGCCCGAAGCCTAGCCTTGCATTTTTTAGCAGCACAATCACTCAGTGCCCAGCCTTGCATTGGCGGTATGCATCCTGGAGGAGTCGATCGTTGATGGCTTTGACGCTGAAGGCTCGAAGTACGCAGTCTCGAAAAGTTGCAAGCTCCATGCCTTCAGAACTTGGGGCGGACGCTTCGGGATTGTGATTGCTCGGTGAATGCCCTGGAGACCGGCTCAAGAGAAGCTTCGGGCTGTAGCTTTTGATTCCGGACACTTTTTGTAGTGTGTTTGCGTCAGACCTGGGACAGGAAACGATGTTCTTGGCAACAGCTTTCTCTTGCAGTTGCAGCTGTGTTCTTACACATGCCGCGCTGTAGCACGCAGGAACTGAAAATCGCTATGGAAACCCTTGTTCTGGACACATCAGGGGCATTTCCGAAGAGCCTCCGTTAGCAAGTTCTGCATGTTCTTTCCGCAACTCTTGCACGGCGTGCTTCACTTCATGAAAATCCAGGTGGAGTTGGCGGGACAGCAACAATGCTTCGGTCTTCACATCCACGATCGCCGGCAGACTGGTGTGCCTCTGCAAAGGTTCCTTCTCAACCCTCGGACTTGGAATCTGGGGCAAACACTCCGGCTGTGACGGTCGGCGGGCTGTCATGTACTGATGGAGAGTCCCTCCTTTGGCTTGTCGCCGGCGGCGAACGATCTTGCCTGTCTCCGAAGAAGTGCAGCAGACCGGAAACTCTCCGATGTCCAGCATTCGTGAGTCGCCGTCAGTCTTGCGTCGGGACATGCGAGCTCCGAGCTGCGATGCCTGCTTCGACACTTCCAGCTCTTTCGTCATGACGCTGATCGAGAAGATCTTTCTGCCAGAGGTGTCAAACTCCCGAGACTCCAAGCTTTGCAAGCTTACTTGTGGCCCGACGGCTACGGGTCACAGCACAGGCGATCGTGTAGGAGGCCGTAGATGCTAGTGCGTTAAACGACTGCTGCCCTACCCCATCACCGCCACCGCCTTGCTGGCGATTACCAACTCCTACCCTCGTGCCCTAACTGCTTTTAAAAGTTTTCCTCGTCATTCGACCTTGGCTACGGCTGCTACGTGGAAAAGACCCTAACAAGCGTGCGCCAATGAGCGTGTAGCTGCAACTATGCCAGCCGAAAAAATATTGGTAGCTGCTTTAAGAGCAACACAGAAACAGTCGCTGCCTTAGCCGTATGTCTGATGATCACTGGCGAGTCGAGATAGTAGCAACAATTGTCCTATGCTAGCTGGCCAGTAGACCATGTCAGCATTTACGACATGAGGCGGTTTAGACGATCCCAAACCCTGAACCCGCGACTGTAGGCTAAGTACACAAGTCTGAGTGTGCTGCAGCGATCAAAAGCACCATGGTCGTCGAGGCAAGTGCAAGGCTGCATCCACCACAGCAGCTTCCTTCATTTAGGTGGTGATGCTACAGAAACCCAATGCTTGCAACCCTGCTCCCCTGAAAGCCCTGAAGTGGATGATCGCAGTTATGGCTGTTTGTCCAGCGGCTCGATGATCCGCTGCAACTAGTTTCCTGATTCCGTGACCCGATGTTGTTCAACTGCCCGAAAATTCTGCGGTCTGGAAGAAACCCAAACAAAGTGGCAGAGCCGGGAATCTTATATCCGGGAGCACAGTGCACATAAACCTCAACCTGACCTGTACATGCATAACTGAACCCTTTCGGAATTCTTGCGCCCAAACCTGCGATTCTCTGGCACTGAGTTCTAAACCCTACAGCCGAGACTTGAATTCCCACAAATTAAAGAAATGCATTGAAACTGTCTATCCGAGTCGGGGTCCCTCACAAAAAAAAGTCTCTAGAAAGCCTTAAGACCAAATCACTAAACCCGAAAACCTCGTTGGGGAGGGAACCCTGAAGAGACCTCTTGCAAAGCCCTTATGGGACCCTTACATTCTCTTTTTATTGAATGCTCGCTCATGGAACCCTTAAAGCAACTCTCAAAGCCCCCGCCGGCGTGCAGAAGGCAAGCCAGGGGCCCTGGCCGGAGCGCTCCGCCACCGGCGATTGATCTCTGTTTGTCGGAGAGGGCTCAGGAGCCTCATGATCTTAGGGTTCCGCTTCTTCGGTTCGTGGGCTTCCATTTTTGTGGGTTTTTGATGGGGTTCTTGATAAACGCTTAGTCCAGGGTTGTCGACTCCCACAAGTCTCCCAAGGGCTTAGGGGTTTATGCTCTTGACTCCGCAAGACAAGGTGACAGAGTCAGAAAAGCTCCGGGTTTCGGGTTTGGGGGCAATTTCGGCTTCCTCCTTGCGAATGAGCGATGTTGGTACTGCTATTATCATCATCATCATCCTCATCATCATCATGACCATCCTTGGCAATATGATGATGCTCATCCTGTGTTCATCACCGCTCTTCATAGCCGAACCGCTCCAATTGCCGGCGCTGTCGCCATGCCCATGTTGTTTGGTGACGAACTGCCTACGTATTGAATCTATCTGTACCGGCTTGAGACCCTTCGAGGTTGGCAGATTGCTTCACTGCTTGGGCTTCAGGTGTCTGGACAGTTGAAAGACCAGATACCATGACTAGACTATGTTGACCGGGACCATATTCTTGCAAGAAGCAATCATTATATCGACGACTATCTCTCTCTCTCTCTCTCACCCGCCCTCCGCTCTCGCTCTGGCTTCTTCAGCACCGTCGGCGTTAGCGAGTGCCGCCCCCCTGCGCGGCGTCGCGCACTGGGAGATTAGTGTGCATCACCTCGCTCTCGCTCGCGTTTCGCTCCTTCTTTTGCCAGGGCTATAGTTGCCTCCCCACCGTTGCGCAAGTGCGCACCGTTGAGGGACAGAAGTTGCATGCACATCGCACGCGACGGCTTCAACACACAAACACACACACACACACTCTCTCTCTCTCTCTCTCTCTCTCTCTCTCTCCCGGGCATGGGGACGGGTCAACTTCCCCGGGCAGATTTGCGCACCCGATCGTATTGATCGGCCGGGGGAGTGAAATACGAGCAGAGACTACTCCGACGGCTGATGCCCTAAAGTATACGATAACGAATGATGGAGTAGTCGTATGCTCCCAACGTCACACATGCATGATGTTTTTTTGTTGTTCGTTTTGTGTTTTTGTTTCTCTCTCTCTCTCTCTCTCTCCTTTATTAGTCAGATATAAACATCGACAAACAAATACATTAGGAAATGAAATAAATTTGCTTATACATGTACATATATGTATATACATATGACAGTGTATATACACATATGTGCATGATGAGGTTGCAGGGACTGATGTCTATGAGCCTTTGCAACCTCCACTTTACTGTAGGATGCATGCCTAGCTAGATCCAATGTCGGACTAGGGCACCAAGCCTATCAGTGCAGGATATTGAATCCGGCAAGAAACAAAACCGAAGTAACGCAACCCTAGCAGCAATGCGCGTGCAATGCATCAGCACCGGTAGCGGATGTTCGGCTGTATAGTTTTCGAGGGGAACGAAAGGTTAATGTTTGTGGCTTATGGGGATTATGGTAGAGATTGTAGCAAGGTTAAAGGCTAATTACTTGCTTCAATGCTAGGACTTGGTGGCTTGCGCCATGGGGCTGAGATTTCAACAACAGCTCTTTTCCCTATGCAGGATATCGGGCTTGTTTACCTCACACTGAGGATTTACGGTTTCGGGCTGATACATGCGGCGGTTATACTCCGTAAACACTATCTTGCAAGTCCATGAACCACTTTGGCGGACCCCGAGTGCGTGGCAGGCATCATTGCCGCTGGAGGGCTACACCTGTCAAGCACACCCAGACATGCCTTTGCACTTATGATGATTTTTTCAGCAGTCACATGCCGCTAGCCATGCGTTTTTGTCAGACTGAGAGCGAGCTCTTGTCTGCTCATGCAAGCTGGGCGACCGCTGGCCGCAACTTCGGCTGCGCGCGGGCAGCTGGAAGCTGCACTGGGCTTGGCGATCATCTGGTTGAAGACAGCTGCAGCTGACATCCAGGCTCCGCAGATCAGGCAGAGGAGTTTCAGGCCATGTTACCGTCGACTTCAAAGAAACTCTTCGACAGTCAACGGCCCACGCCATGTCTTGGTGAGGTCAGCTTCACTTTTCAAGGCGACGCCTTTGATGTGCGGTATAGGAACTCCGAGCACCGGCAAGCTGAAGCGCTTCAGCTTCACCTCCTCAGATGCAGGCGTAAACAGGTGAGAATAGAAGGTTTCGTCTATGGAATGTTAGCAAGCTTGGTTCGGTGTTCGGGACGGTGCAGTCTGTCCAGTGCCTGGAGACGGTCTGGAACACGAGTAGAAGAAGCAATGCAGAGTCTTTACATGTGCCCTCTGACAAAAACCCACCGCATCAGGTGACAGGCACCAACCTAAACCTGAAACCCTTAAGCTAGAAGCCCGTCTTGAAGCCGCATTGAAGCCAGTCGGCAAAGCTCGAAATGTAGAGCCAATGCTCCGTCACTCAACTTCAAACCCTGAGCTCCGCATCATCACGTCCGGAAACCTAGACCTAGAATCCTCAAGCTTAAACCCAAACGTAACAACCCCAAACACGACACGCGAAGCCCAAAACATCCTCAAAGGAACCTCGAAGACTTGGCTTTCAAAAAGCCGCTCGCTGTCGCGGCACGGATCGCAGCCTGGGCTTTGGGCTTCTCATGGCTTCTCGACATTGCACATCTTGGACTTGGTGCCACGAAGCAAAGTCTCCAGGGCTTGATTGAGGTTAGCTCCCGCAAAAGACGTTTCAAGTTATCATCAGTTTTCGGGACTTCCAATGCGCCTATGTTGTCGGTCTGTCTCGGGTCTTCGTTGCATCGTTGTCGCTAGTACCCCAAGCCAGTGGCTAGCATCACCGTGTCAGCTGCGCCGAAACGTGAAAGGCACTTTTCCGACCGGCAGCCGTTGCATAAGGCCAGCTGCACAGGGCGAAAGGCGACTTGAGCTGCCAGGAGATAGGGCATTTTGGCACGGTCGGCCAAGACATGCTCAACGAAAACCAGCTGACCACCTGCAACAATAAGCCAATCAGCATCGTCTCGCATTCTAAACGGGATCAGGGATAAGTGCGCGGCTGATCATACCAGTTACACATGTTACAGCAACAAGGAGAAGATACACATATACAGATATATGTATGTAATTGTATGTATATATATATAAACGCATGCATACAAATACATGTACATACACATAATGTTGTTTACATACTGATGCTTTTTATTTTTTGATTTATGTATATTTATATATACATAAAATGTATGTATGTATATATATATGTAGAGAGAGAGAGAGAGAGAGACATACATACATGTCTGATTTCGTCCAACTCGCCTGGCTTCAGGGCTGCGCGGACTTCTTCCAGCAAATCCCTCGGCTGCTGTGCGCAGCAGAGAACATGCTGGAGCACGGCCAAGTCGAAGCCATCCACCTGTAAGGGTTCCCTTCAAGCCCTTCAGGGTTTTTGAACGTCTTACAAGGGCACTATAAGGCTTCCTTTACTGGGTGTCTAAGGGTACTATGCCGGGTTGTATGGCGGCCTCTATAATTGGACTAGGACTTCGGGGCAGATTCAACGTATAGTCTTCTGATCGGAAGCAGGCAGCAAAAGATGGGCTGGGGTTCAGGTTGACTGTGCTGAAGCTTCATGGTTGGATGCTCCCAGTGTTTGGCACGCAAAGATGATGGACAGGAAAGATGGTTTCTTGATGTGACGCGGGTTACAAACGGTTCTCCCAGGACGTAAAGTGATGCAACCATTGAGGTGCGCTAGTAAATTTTAAAATGGCTGCTAAGCATGTGGTTGGGACTGGGTTCGAATAATAAAACGCAGCAACTGCGCTCTGAACTAACATCAGCTTACGGCAGTGGCTGTGGCTGCAACAATGCCCAAAATACACGAAGAAACAAGGTATCCAGATCGCAGGCAAAGATGCTTCCGAACATAATTTCGACATGTCAGGCAGAAACCGGAAATCGGCAACATCCGACAGCCATCGCTTCTGCTCCTGCGCCAGGTGGGGCCAAGCGCACCTAAGTCTAGGCTTTGTTTTGGAGTTGATTCGCTTGGGATGCAGGACCCCTACTGTACGTGTGGACTCATGAAGGTCATCTTCTGTCGGAGGACATGTGAGCGCTGGGAGTCGAGTACACATACTGCGTGAGGCTTAGGTGCAATTGGTGCCGGGCCTTTGGAACTCTGGAAACGTTGCCAGAAGAGAGATCGCTGAGAGATTGACAGGCCTGCCTGCCAAGAGAACCTGCGCAACCGAAGATAGTATCCCCTTATAGAATCTTATAGCCCCATACTGACATGGTATGCATATATATATATACATATACGTACATACACACATATACAACCCCTAAACCCCGATCTAGAGACTAGGTCATGAAGGCCGCAACAAAGAACCCATTAAACTTATTGAAAAAAGAAAACACATAAAACTCTATTTCAAGTATTGAAGCCCCAATCCTGCGACAAGTGACTGGTTGGGTTCGACTGCGACCACCTGCAGCAGAGCACCAATTGGCTGCGCAGGTGTTTGAAGTTCAGAGTATGGCGTTTCGGGTTGTCATGAACATCTGGCAATCAAGCTTCCCCATATCCGATGCTGGTAGTTCTGGCGAGGATTTCTGCATGTTCTTCGAAGTGCAAACTTCACACCTCCAAGCGGGTTCGCTGTCTTCGGGTTTTTTGTTTCACAGACAAGTTTTAGACAACTCTTGTCAAGGATTCACAAGCCGATGTGAAGCCTTCACAGTTTGCTACTGTGAAGGCGGTCTTTGGGCTCTATGGCGCTATTCTTAAAGCGAGCCACCTCAACCCGGAACCCAAAACAAAAACCATAAGCCCGAAACGCAATACGTGTGTCTCATGCATCTTCCTCCACCATCGTCAGCGACAGCTCTGCTGCATCCAGGGCCCGGCGGATGTAGCGGAGGTCTCCTCCTTGGGGTTTAGGATTGGGTGCTTAGACTTCGGTGCGCAGCCTGACCGAAGCTTCATGCATTGTTGACGTACCAAAAGGAATGCGACACCTAGGAGTACAAAAACCTCCTGCTGCATCAACGATCCAGCACGTTCCAAAGGCATTGACAGCAGACTTGCTGTGCCACTTTCAATGAGCACCTTTCAGTTTTCGACGCTCGAGCTGCTGTTGTCGAGTCATGCGACTGTTGCAAGACTTTCTCATCATGGTGCGTTGACATGCTTCCGCACAGACGCTACTTCAGGGGTATCCGGCAGTCGCAATAGGCCCGGATGCACAAAATTCGGTGATTTGATAAGGTGCGGGGTTTCGAGATGTTTCAAATTTAGGGCTTAGGGGTCTCGACACCTTGCTGAATTGAAATTACAGAGTTCCGTACCCATGATCCTGAAGGTGGCGAAAAGAAAGCCGAGACAGAAAGTCACTTTGAAGAAATGAAGTGGGCTGCGGAGGAGGCTTGCATGTACTGTGAGCCTCCTGCAGTCTTAGATACATCCAAAAACCTCTTTGTACAGCCCATCTTCTTCTGAGAAGCCCCCACCAGCTCCAATGTCGAGGATCCTGATCCTTTCACGAATTTCACAAATCCCAAAGGCCTTCGACCGAAGCCTTGAGCAAACAAAACACGCCCTGCAAGATATCCCTTCTTGCGACTGGCGTGCTGCGACTCCGCCAGGACGAACGCTTGGCATCCCTAAACCCCTCAACCCTAAACCCTAAGTCTCAACCACAAAAATAACTCTGGGAGATGCAAACATCCTAGGCCTCGGAGCTGTGGTGCCGCAACGTAAGCTCTTTGCTGCTTCTCCTTGCTAAGGTTTTAGGGTTCAGGTTCAGGCTTTCGGGAAGGGTTCCGTGCCCCAGACAAGGCTGCGCATGGGCTTATAGGGTTTAGGTTTTAGGGGTTTAGGGTTTGCAGATCACGGCGGGTAACCTCTGAAGCCCTGGAACGTGATAGGGCTTTGGACGTTTTAGGTGCCTGCAGGTCCGGGGACGGAGGGCTTTCGATACGATTTCAAAATCCAAACAGCGGCAACATTAGCAATACCTGACGCGCAGGCTGTAGGTATCCTTGTACAAGTATGAATAAACAACTAGCTACATAAACATGTAAAGAAGTAAACAAGCACTTAACAACCAAATAAACTGATCCGTGTGTATGTACCTGTTTGTAAACATTTTATGCAAAGTAATTTTTATCCATTTAAACTGATGTTTGTCTGTGTTTGTATGTATGTTTATGTACATATGTATATACATATGTATATGTAGATGTATATGTATACATACATATATGTTATACATTAAACGAGCCCAGCATACTTAGAGAACTGAATCGAAACCCTAAAATTCATCAACAGCCTGAGCAACTTCAACCAAGTACCCGAATTCCCTTCCACTGGCAGTCCAAGTGTCCATACGCTTCCAAGAACTCGGGTTCCACTTGGTCTCCTGACGTCAGGGCTTCTGGTAACACACTGAGGTTCTCTGCTAAGGGCTTCATATGCATGGCGCAATAATTTTAATAGTTCTTTGGGGGCATCAACCTTAACATCTTCAACATGCAACGTCGAATCGTGCCGCAAAGTACGGTTTCTGGCCTGTTGGGAGTGTAGGGCTTGGGGTCACGACCAGCCTGGCAGGTCCCGCACACACCTCGTCATGGCCCATAGTTGTAGGCTATAAGGTATCAAAAAGCATAGACATGAATACAATGGGCAATTGAAGGCAGAGTGCGAAACGATGCCTTCCAAAATCATCATCGAGCTAGAATTTTCTCGGATCCGGACCAGAAGCCGTGAATGCAGGGGCTGCACCCATGAGACGTTTCCTTCTTCAGCAATGACAACAAGATATGATAGGCATAACAATGAACATAGTATTGGCAATCACTAAATACATGAGCCGGAAACGGAGTCGTGTCCTTCGAGCGACCAGCTCTCCTCAGCAGGAATCAGGCTCTCTTAGGGATTATAGGGCTCGGTGTTGAGGTTAAGGGTTTGGGGATTATAACTATAATCTCGGGGACGCCAAATCTTCTTTTGCTCAACTCTTCTGTTTGGGGCTTGGGGGGAGGCTCAGGGTGGGGGATGCGAATATGCAACCTGTTGGCCAAAAAAGGGCTACGAGCGGTTTGCTATGGAGAGTTCGGATTTGCATGTGATGATGCGTGAAGTGTTGCCTGTCCCTTATCTCAGTACCATGGTTGTGACAAGGGCTTGGCCATGTTTCGTGTTTACTGCAGGGCACAACCTCAGGATCGTGCAAATTTTGCCGAGTGGTTGGCAGTCATACAGGAGCTTAATTAACCACAATAGAATGGGGATTTGGCGGTTTTTATTCGATATTCATAATCAAGCACCTCAAATTTGTACTTGTGATCATTCAAGCCCCTTTTGTGGACCTTGCCAGGGCGCGAGGGCAGCCAATGCCCGTAGATAGGCAGACATCGTGACACTCCGTGTGGGATGGAATCAGACGGCAGCGGGCATGATGGCGCATCGAGATGAAGGAGCTCGAGCCCTGGAACTTCTTAGATTTGAGACTCACGAAGTTAGGAGGGACGGTGGAAGTGCTGGCCTTTCCGGTTGGGCCTACTTGCGAATCCTGAATATCCAGCTTCAGCTCCAGCTGTGCAGTCTCACGGCATCTTGAGCCAATTCAGCTCACAAGCATCCCCCTCACCAGCTTCAATCCGAGAGGCCCCGAAGCAGAAAAAGGCTGACACCAATTAAGCAGACTCAAAACATTGTGGTGGCATGGTGCTGAGAAGGTGCCAGAAAGGTGCAATTTCGCAAGGTACCTGCCTGCAATACCTGCAGGTTCAATTTGGTTGTGGGCTTGGTGGCTCATGCATGAATTGAGGCTGCTTTGCTTAAGCTAGTCACTCGACTGCACGGAGTGTATGAACATCACAACCCTCAGATCAGACATGCTCGTATCAACGTCCTAAAGCCTGCAGATCTTGTGGTTACATCAACATTTCAAAGCCCTGAACGAACCGACAGCATGCCTGCCACCTCGCTGGCGCAAAGCTGCAGCCAGAGAATCCCTGACAGATTCGAGCAAGGCCCGATCTCGTAATACTTACTTCCAGGCCAAGGACAAGGACTCCTCTAAGATTTTTCAGCACGGACTCAGTTAGCCGGCCAGCGCCTTAACACAAGAGTTCACATGAAAAGTTATGGATCACAGCGGACGAAAGCCTAAACCCTTCAGTTGTCAACCCCATGTGATTGTTGCTTCGAACCTGGCCCTCCCATAAACCCTATTGTAGGGCCTTATTAGTCCGAGCAGGGTTTGTGGCGGATATTGTGTTTTCATGATGAATGTAGGAAAAGTAAACGGACTGAATGACTATATAGTTATCTATGCCCCGAGTTCAAGCCTTCCGCAATCCTGGGTAAGCTAGGGGGGTGCCAACGTGCAAGAAGCTCCTCAAATCCACTTTTGCGCAAAGTAAGGCGAGCGGGTGGCGTGTGAGCTTTGCATAGGGCCGCCCCAAAAAAGCAGTAAACCTTCCGACCTTCTCATGTGAGTATGCTCCAGAGATGACACCAAGAACCTTGACTCAAAGAAACAAAGTTTAAAAGACGATTAGGTATCCAACCTCAAGTTTCTATGATCAACCTTACTCTAATGCACGCCGCATTTTGCAAACTCCCATGTCACCTTTATAGAAATTAGAACTTCCTTTCGAAAAAACTAAAACCCCATGAGAGTGCCTGGACGTGGTCCTCGCGCTGCTCCCGGGAGATGTCGGGCGTGAGCTCGGCGGCAGCACTTTGACAAACCCTTTTAAGGCTTGCTGTTTGCTCAGGGCTCCGTTCTCGGTTTTAGGCCTAGGGGCGTGGAAGGGTTCTGGATCTAGCTTAATTCTTCTAAGTGCTGGGGTATCCTGTTTCATCCCTCCCACGGACTGGGTTGACGGTGTTGGGGTGTAGGGTTTTACTCTCGCCTTACGCAAGGCACCACGTGCGGTTTCTTGGGCTATTTGGAGCCACTAAATCGGTGTTCCGAACTCATTAGGGGTTCTTTGCGGAAGAGTCCCACTGTTCTTTACTCGGGTTCATTTTCCACCTGAAACTCCCACTGACTAAAATTAAGTCTGAAAACCTATGGCTGGGCACCGTCCTATCATGCTATTGGAAGCCGCAGTCATATGATGGATGCGATGGCATCATTGTAACGAAAAGCCAATCGCGATGGTCCGCCATCACAAGAACAAAGTAGTACCCGTAAATATCGATCTTCCAGCAACAGGCCGCTGACCTCATATCTCCGGCGGCAGATGTCGAAATGCTCCGTGCGAAGCTGGAAAGACCGCCCTGGGCCTTCAGACGCGCACGAGGGTTTACGGGTACTTGCAGTGGAGGACTTCGGAGGTTTCGGAAAGGGGCTGAAGGGACTGGCGGCACATTCCCATACCCTGCTGAGCCGCAGGGAGCCATGGAAAGCAAGCGCAGTTTTGCTGGAACGTGCGCACAAGGCTTGATGGCTGAATGGTACAACTGGCCCTGACTGAGGATTACAGTGCGCATGTACTTGTGGTTGTCCTGCGCGTGATCGAGTATGCCTGTAAACGGTCGTAGACTCTAGCAGACCATAGTAAACAATAAAACTATAGCAAACTATAGTTAGCTATAGAGTGACTGTACTAACCTGTAGTCACTACCCATAGGCTCCATAGTAGTTCCTTTTGGGGATTACCTTATAGGATCCCAAGTATGAACCACAAAAAGGAGCTACTATGGAGCCTATGGGTATAGCGAAACTACTGATCATGATCCACAGCTGCAGCCATGTGCCTTCATGCCGACGCTCCACACCCACCTGCTCGGCCAGCTCTTTGCTTTAGGGCCAAACTTTAGGGTTTCAAATTTGGGGTTGCAGCACTCACACCCCGAATTTAGGGGTTCGGGGGGTTTCGACTCTCACGGTCGCACCAGGCAGGCAAGGCTCCACACAAGCGTCGAAGTGTCCAACCGTTCGTGTGAGGGATAACATATAGGGACCTGAATCATTAGAACAATGCTTTGAGGTGTATTATACTATGACTAAAACATGAAACCAAGGAACAATTAGCAATTACTCTAGCTTCGACATTACCAACGCTGCTTCCTGGCATCCCTGCATGACCGGCTCGTTCCATGGGTATTCCGATCCATAACCCCATCATGCCAAAGCCCGAAAACTTAAGCCGCGATGTCGATACCAGAGGGCATGCTAGCTTGTGGTTAGGGGAGGCCTTTGACAATGCGCAAGTCCAGGGATGTAGGCTACGTACATGCTCTCACAGACTCCGAGTGCAAAAGGAGGATTACCGGACGGATGGGTCCCAACAAAAATCAATTGTCTCCCATCCACTCAGCGCAAAGTCAACATCCGATTGATTTACTATTTACATACTCCCGGCTGTTCATATCAACTTACTCGTAACATAACGTCGTGGGGGGGGGGGGGCCAAAATCTGAGGCTGGCACACCTGAGAAAGCTTCGTGCTGAAGGAAGCTGGAAGAGCTTGGGGTTTGGCTCCAGGGCTCAAATGCATCAAGCCTCCAAAACCTTCCATGAGCTGATGAGCTCTACAAAATCTCTCATCAGGCCTGACCTCACACTCAATATCAATCCATCACTAGAACTACAGCAGAGCACTCCCCAAACGCTCAAAATTCCAAAGCTCTCCGTCGGAGTCTTCCTTTGGTCAGCCGATGCAGCTCCAAAAGCGCTCCATAGTCTCCTTCATGATTCTGGGACGCCTGGCCTCCACTTCCCCCATGGGCAGCCCAAGGCCTTCGGTCAAGGACGCGTGAGAGACGTGGATCGCCAGATGGAAAGAGCGGAAGTCGCTGCACTCCGAATCTGGTCGCACATAGGTGCTTGCATCTGCCACCCAGTTGTATGAAGTCAAGGCGTCGAAAGATTTATTCTTGAGCCCTGACTTGTTGACCAATCCTGCCATGGCGTGCATGTCCGAGACCAGTCGTGGCATGGGCGTCTGGCGCGTCATCAGTATTGCACTCTCAGTAAGTAAGACAGAAATGCGACGCCACTCCTCCTGGCTACCGGACATAAGAGCAGGTACGTGCCCTTGCAGAACAGTAAAGCGCCCCTTGTCCATCAAGCCACTCGTTGCCAGAAGCTGCATGGGCAGGGTATCGTAATCACTCATCCAGCCACCACCAGCTTCCGCCATCGCCAAGTAACGCAAATAGCACGTCTTCTCGTAAGCTGGATTTGGCCCTAGCGGGATCCTGTTCAGCCGTACCAAGAGTTGCTTGTAGAAGGGAGACTTCTTTGCATCGTCGAGGCCCAGCACTCGCGTATGCCAGCCAGCTCGCCGCCAATGGTATTCCCAGCTTGCCAAAGTCTGTCGCCTCGGATGCTCCCGGTCGTCATTTGTAGTTGGCTCGTAGAATGTATGCATCACCCGCGGCGTGAGCGGATTTGGGACAAACTGGTCCCGCCAGTGATCTTCGATGTGTGCAGTTCGGCATGACTCATTGCCTATTACGCACTGTCGCATGTCCGGCATGTCCTGCGAGTCTCTGCATGGTACTGGACAGGTGTGACCACCATTTGGCCACCGGCAAACATCTCCATGCAGGCCTTCGTGCACCTCCAAGACCGCCCGATGATGGCATGGGGCGGGCGTCCAAGTTACATTGCAGGACGACCACCGGTTCCACAAATCCTGCGAGAGCTCTTCTCGCATCACAGTGCTGACATAGCTACCAATCCACGACGGGTATAGTGACCTCGTCTGACAAACTTCGCCGTGCTTTGTGGCATTTCGCCATGCCCCGATCTCGTCGTCAGTTGCAGACGAGAGATCCATGCCCAGAAAGCCAGCCAGGGAGTGCAGGGTCTCGTGAGGATCTGCAGCCACCTCCTCAAAAAACAGCTTAAAGGCCTCAGGTTGATAAGAATACTCGCGGTGTTGAGCTTCTGTCCAGTTGGCCACAGAACGAATGCGCTGGACAGAACAATCGAATCTGCTTGAGCAATTCTTGGGACCCTTCTTGTGCAAAGCTGTGACCACGTCTCGCGGGTCACGCATGAGCAGTACAAATGTGTGAGACTCTGTGGTGCCCTTTCTCTTGTGATGCATCGTCTCGCCATGATCTACCTCACAAAGGACCTCGGGGCATCCAACCCATCGCTTGCATCGCCGAGCCACCGTGACCTTTAGGGCTTTGCAAAACCCTTTGCCATGACTTCCGGCATGCGAAATCAGCAGAACGGATGTTGGGGCGGTCAGGAGCGAAAGTGTCGTGAATTGCAGAAGCAGCAATAGAAGCGCCAAAAGACAAACAAGAGCGCGCCAGAAGTAGATCCCGGTGCAACGCGATGGCTTCATGGCTCCGGCCTTCTTTTGGTGTATCCTGACTCCTATACAGTATATAAGTTCGGATGAACAGACACCATGGATATAGAAGTACACTCCACAATAATTAAAGGGCATCCAGGTCCAACTATCTTCAGATGTATGTACATCCGGAAACAGCTTCGGTCAGTGGGCGTTCCGAGTTTGGAACTGCTAGCTACCATGCCGTCCTGCGAAACCTCTTAAGCTGGCAAAAGTCATGCGGACACCCATGAGAACCAACGGATGCCATGAATACTTCATGGCTCGCAACGAAGCTCGCAAAACACGAATATCGAGGCCTTGATAAATAGAATCGGGCTACCGGGGATTTTATAGTATAGTTAAGTATAGTGGTTACAGAGACTATTATTAAGCAGACACCATGTACTATTCCCACTTCATGGCTATTCAGTTCTCATCAGGATCCCTACACTGCCTACACTACGACTGCAGCCCTTGGTCCTCCAATGCTTTCAAAAGCCTTGTTTGATCTGGCGCTGCCCCTTAGCCCTAAACCCCTGAATCTTCAAGTCTTAAACACTTTGTTACCACCGGGCTCAAGTCTAGCCAGATCTTCCACCCCTCCGGCGCCAAAACCCAAAGCTTTTGAAAAGCTCCAAGCCTGGCATTCGGCAAGGGGTCGGCTGTGAATGCACCGCCTTGAGCCTGAGTCCGGTCTTCTTAGAAGTGAATGTCGTGATTTGAAGGGGGTTTTCTGTTTTTTTTTTATAAAGGTTGACATACCCATGGTTTAAACAAGGCATGTACAGGCCGGCAAGGAAACAGTGTTTCGCAGGCAGCAACACACATCTGAACCTTGAAACCTTCAGACTCACAGCTTCAACCACAAGGCCTGGCCAGGGATCCTCAGGAGCCAAGTAGTCCAAGTAGCGGCCATGGTCTTGTCCCGCCTGCAGAGGAGCCGCTCGAAGTGCTCGCTGCCTCAAGAGTTCGTGTATTGGTTCTACCATGATAGGGGTCCTGTATACGGGCTCTCCAGCTAGCATACTTCAAAGAAACATGGCTATAGCATAAGGGTTCTACAAAAGGGCTCACTAGAGGTTCTACAAGCAACGTCGGGCTTCTAAGGCTATAGGCATTTGTTACGATGGAGCTGACCACACCGTGGCCCCAAACCGACTCTCGCAGATACGATGTAACTACAATACGACGCGTACAATCAAACAGACAAGCAAGCAAACAAACGCAGGCATGCACCAAATTGCTTTATAACGTTAATATGAGCATCAACAACATTACATTATTGCTGGCAGTAGCGCTAACATTACCACGGCTGTCTTTAAGATTAAGATTGGCATCTTGCATTACACTGCATTGTTCTACAGTCTTACATTACAATAGACTTCACTACGTTAAGTTACACTGCCTCACGCTGCGCGATGCACGCTGCAGCACAACACATTACCGAACATCACATGATATGGCATGACCATGACCAAACCCGGTCACTCACCAAGACTAAAAGCCCATAATTCTCAAGACCACCCAACCAAGCCTGAGGCCACCAAATTGGGACCTCTGAGACCATTCGTTATCCTCTGCTAAGCAAAAAACTGACACTTACACAAAGGAAAATATGAAAACCAAAACAGATCCCGCCGAATCCCGAGCACATGACAGAGGACGCCCAAAATCCGCCAGTGTCTTGAGTAAGCCCGGGCCCACCCGCACTAGAGCGGATTCCCCAGGTAGACACACGGCCGCATTCATGTGTCTTCATGTGTCATGTACTGTGATGTACCTGTTTGCCACAAACCTCGCTGAAACCCATATCCTATATCGCCTATATCCCTTGTTGAATTGATGACATCAAGCTAGGTTACATAAAATTGTTACTTCACATCGCATCATATCGCATTTCCATGCAGTACGGTACAGTTCTTACTGACTAAAGAATGTGTTTTATGTTACACACAGACATGCTAGCCTTTATGTCAATAGAACGATGTTGAAGTCCACAATATGGGTGCATATAACAAGTAAAGCCAAGTATTGCAAATCCACGTGCTGTGATTCAACAGGATTTGGCTTTGTATCTGTAAAGCATAGTCGATGACATCACTAATGTCGGGTGCATGTGCTGAATGCTCTTAGATTTTAGGAAAAATCAAACGGCGCCTGTGACATTCCATCATCATCAGCTGTCTGAGCTCCCCAATAAGCTGCGTCACGATTTCACCGAGAGCGCGGCCACAGGCACTGTGGCCGCCGTTAAGCTCCTCTTCAGACAAGGATAAATGATCTCATCAGAAGTTCGGTGTTGTCCGGCCACTAGACTCTGGAAGGCCTAGAACATCCGAGAACGATTAAATTAATTTGCCAACTGGAGAGCAAGTCCATGTGGAGCTGGCAATGCTGCTACAAAGCCGATGTGTTGGCCACTTGGCGACCTTGAAGGATATCACTGCAGGGGTTCATTATCCGTCTAAGATCCAAAGTCCACGGTCTAAAGTCAAGCTTGGAAAGAGGCGAGACGTCTACGTCTGATGTCTGCAAAACTGCACATGGGCTCTTCCAAGCTTTCAACAGTGTTTCGAATAAGCCCAAACAAAAAAATACAGGGTAGAAGTATAAGCGTCATGTGCATCGGCCATTGCTAGTTCTGCACCAGAATTACTTGCATTCAAGGCCATTCGGGTAAAACGAGATGACCGTACACTCTTGTCCTATCTCTCCCCAAATTCAGCGAGGACTCCCCTGTGACGAGTGCGTTTAAGGTAGCCAAGCCTAACCCCAAACCCAAACGAGTCAAGACTTCAATGCGCAACCACGGGTATGTGTGGCTTCTTCACCAAGTGGCCCTCTTACAAAATACAAACTGAAGATCCTGAAATGTAGAGCTTCAGTCACTATAGGGTCACCACACCTCCTCTAAAAACCCTCCATACAAGGAGCTGCGCAGGTCGAAAAAAACAGCCCAGGTCCTGCAACCACTCTGGCCTGAGCACATAGTCCTCCTCCTCACAAGCTGACGGAGCTTCCCGGATCACCCCTGATGAGTTCGGGGATCCTCTGGCCCATGACCTCGCTACGGGATTCCATGCCCATCCTTTGCGGGTCTTCAGACTAGCAAGGCAGACGTTGACTGGGCAACAAAGATGTCAGAAAGTTGGCTTCAGATTTTGGGTCGTGAACACGTGTCCGACGGGAAATTTCAGCATCCTGCGGACAGAAAGGGTTCCTTCAAAAGCGGGAGTATGCCCTGTGACGCTCAGCAGCCCTGCGAAATGTGCCTTGCGCTGATGACGAAATCGCAGCTGATGCAGCGACCTGCTGAGATCGGGATCTGAGGGCAGGGTCTTCTAACGATAACAATAACAGTATAGTAGTAGTAACAATAATAAAAATAATAATAAGAAATAATGATAACAAAAAATTAAAAAATGCTCTCAAACGAGGCAACCAGGGACCAAAGGACCAGCCTAGATTGGACCCTGAACCCTGAACCCTAAACCGTTAGACAGTTGCTCGGAAAGTCACAACCTATTCAAGTTGCAAGGGTTATTCACAAATCATGAGGTAGCTATGGCAATAATTCCTTGTAACTCCAACTAGGGAACTCATGACATTACTCAGTCCCATGAACCTAGGCAGCCCTAGCCCCTAATTAAGCCTTGAGTACCAAAGCCCTAGACCCCTAAACCTAAAGCCCTAAACCCCAAAGCCCTAAAGCCCTAAACCCCAAACCCCTAAAGCTCTAAAGCCCTAAAGCCCTACACCCCTAAACCCCCCGAACCCCTAAACCACCCTCCAAGGATTCTCAGCTGCCCACTCGGATGCCGGTTCGGGGATGAACCTCGCAGGAAGTGTCACACAAGCGCTCCTCCTTCCACCACTCTGCTTCTCGGGTTAAGGGTTCAGGGAGTATACTACCTAAGATATCACATTATTACATATTGCATTATGTATAATATCATGTGATATAGTGTCATAACATATTATATCATCTCATACTATCTTACATTGCATACTCTGCTTCTCGGTTTCGACAGGCACACTCGCACGAGCTGCCGCGGATTAAAGCGACAAGTCTCTGAACCCCCTAGCCAACACTACGTAGACTTTCATACCTCTAGATGCGTCGTCAGCCACGAAGCGTCCAAACAAGTACTGCACGAGGCCCGTGCTTGGAAGCGGAGATGATTCGGCCGATCAGCTGCAGCCAACCGGACTGCCAAGCGAATGTGGCTCCAGGAAGGGTGCTATAACAAGGAGAGATTCTTGCAAGTATTACTACTACTATACTACATAATTGCAAATACTACGTAATTGCAAATCGAGAAGAATGCCGCTCCTCTTTACCACCACTACCAATATAATTAAGCATGGCAACGACCATAATCGTCATCACTGCAAGTGTAAGATTGGCACTCATAGTAATGAGAGGATCACAATCGTCATCGCTATGACAAGAAGAAAAGTAAGAAGGTCTTGCTTCTTCTAGCTAAAGCCTATCTGGCCTAGGGTTCGACTGTTCCGTCTGGTTAATTTGTGATGCGTGCGGGGAACATGGCATGAGTACCAAGCTCGGCAGGAGAATCCCTATGACCACCAGGACCCCAAATTCAATATAAACTAAGGCAAAACCTGATGAAGCCCTTGAACTACGCTAAGTACAGTGCTCGTCACCTTAAGAGCCCGCCAACAAACTGTAACTCGAACAAGAGATACCGCGCAATCTCGAAGAAACAGACCTCGCACGAAGGCAACTCTATGAAGCCCTTGTAAGACCTATACAATTCAATGCAAATCAGACAACCCTGAGCCCAATACCCTGCACCCTATACCCTTGTTTTGCACCGGGACTTGTGCAATCTCCTGAAGGTCTGGGCATCCCCAGGGCCCTATACCCTTAACCCTCAACCCCTACCCCTAAACCCTGAACCCTAAACCCCTAACCCCTAACCCTGAACCCTCAACCCCTAGCCCTAAACCCTGAACCCTATACCCCGAACCCTATACCCAAACCCTAAACCCTGAACGCTATACCCTAAACCCTAGACTGCCTAGAACCCTAAGCCCTACTCAGAGCTCCCGGAACTCGAGATCTTCCTCCCGTCAGCCTCGAAGGCTGCACCCGGGGAGGGGCAGGCATAGACCTGGCTCTCGGCTTTGGGGGTTGAGGCTTTTTAGGATTTTAAGGCATTCATATAGGGTATTTTTTTTGCCTGGCACTGAGGCAGGCCGGAAGCTCTCATTTTCTCAGGCGTTCGGCTTTGGGGTTGGGTTTAGGATTTAGGGCTTTGGGTTTAGGGTTCAGGGCTTAGGGTTTAGGGGCTTTTAGGATTTAAGGCATGAAGATAGGGCCTTTTTTTCATACGGGATTTCTTGGGGTCGAGGGTTTTGTGCGGAAAGTCTGCGACATTTCATGGAGCGGTGCGCGCTTGTCTCTGCTTCTGGAACTGCCTGAAGAGATCAAGTTAACTGCCTGAAGGCCCCCAGTCAGTAGCAACGATAAGAACAAAAAAGTGCAAGTCCACTGCCAGGCCCTGCCTCATAAAGAGTTGTGCCTGCCGGCAGGTGAAGCATATGCTGCAAAGACCTCGGCATTGACACAATATCCTTTTGCGTGTGTTGCCGCATTCATTCCGTGGTTCAGCTTCCAGACAGCTTTGATCGCACCCGCAGCAACTCTTGACTTCCCAGTCGTCAGCAACCACGAACGCAAATGAATGGGAGTTTCAACACATAGGCCACCCCCTAAGTGTGCAGTGGGATCCAGAGCTTTTTCCAACCCAGACTCATGATGTCAGCTGGCACGACAGGACCTTGGTGCATGCCTACCAGTGAGACGTCCACCTGTGCATGGATCGGACTCGCAGGGTGTCCATAAGAGCCAAAAAGCGAGAAATCCATAGACGATCTGAATTTTTAACTAAGAAGAAGCTCAAAATCTTTACATTGAGCCACATGCTGTTGTTGTGGCGAAAAATCAACGAAACGGCCTCTCAACTTACATGCGTATGTAGTGGAAGACGCGCATGCATGGTAAGTGAGGGATGCCGCGGCATGCATATTGAATCTCAGGCTGCCACCCGTCTTAGACGGAGACTTGTTGCGCCCAACCCGGCTCTTGCATGAGCCAGCGGACGCTGGTGTCGCAGTCACCACCCAGGAAGACGTGCTTTCGCAGCTTGATGCCGCTCAGGCGTGACCGCAAGGCCCTGACCCGGCGGTGCAGCTGCAAGCTCTTTGGGAACTCGCGGTTGATGACCAACAAGGCGCAGTCGGGCTTGATGAGCTTGGGCAAGGACGCGAAAGGATTCACTTTCAAAGAAGTGCCCAAGATGATCAGGAGATCCGCGTTTTGGAAATCGCTCTTGTGCTGTTGAAAGCTCTCAGGCAATGACTCTCCGAAGAGCACGATGTCCGGACGGAGCGCGCTGCCACAACTGCATCTTGGTGGATTGGCTTGATCAAAATACTTTTCCTTAGAAATGAAAGTGCGACACTGATCGCACCTGGCTCTTCGTGTGGTTCCATGGCATTCCACCAGTAACGACTCGTCAATGCCAACCTTGTGCTCCAAGCAATCAATGTTCTGTGTGTAGATTCTCCTTAGGATGTTTCTGTCCTGCAGCCTCTTGAGAAACTCATGTGTGAGGGTAGGGGATACATGATCCGTCTTAAGTTGCTGCATCACGCTGTAGAAGAGTGAAGGCTGCTCTTTCAGAAAGTCCCGGGTGAAGATGGTCTCCGGGGCGGTGATCTTGGTGGTCTGCCTCAACTGGTCATACAGCCCACCCTTGGATCTGAAATCTGGCAGATTCGCAGACACCGAAATGCCCGCCCCAGCCATGACCACCACGTTTTTGAACTCATCGGCAGCCATATCCTCCAGCAAGCGCTCAAGCGGCCCATCCTCCATTTGCTCCTCGTTTGCTCCTCGAACTGCACGCCCAAGTACTGTATATGCCAGGACGGGGCTTGAGCCGTGGCTTTCACCAGGTGGGCCCTCCCTCATTTGAATATGGGCACATGCAAGCTGAACCGACTGCATGAGCAGCATGATTACAATGCCAACAAGTATCCCAAATGATCCGACACCCCCAAATGACCCTGAGAGCCACGCTTTGGCAGGTCCGGGACGTCTGGCTCCCACGGATTCCGGACCTGCAGGGCTGAAGTGTGGAAGCATTTCGATCCAGACAGTTCGAGCACGGGATCTCTTCGGATACACTATGGCGAACTCGGCTGTAGGATTTGCAGTTGTCGCAGCTATCAATGGCCCTACCGTTGGGTTTCGAGTTATGATACTTGCCGCCTAGTATGATCCGATAGCAGAACCTGGTCGAGTTAGTCTTACTGCTACGCCTTGTCCGTTGCCATCGTGGTGGCTCCAGGGGTGGCTGGCAACTCCGACAGGACTGGGTTCATCATTTACTACTATTGATCCCTATTATGGCAACTTGAGTTAAATCAGCTCCGCAAGAACCCAGTTGAGGTGCAAGCCATCGTCATGTTGCCAAAGACAGGGCGCATAATTAGCACCCAGGGGCAATCCACAACCTTAGTGGACTTGGGGTTTATAGGGCGTAGGGCGTGCAAGGTTTAGGGTTTTCGCACCCTGGCATACCTTAAAGTTTAGGGGCTTAGGTCTATTGGGTTTTCGAGTTCTGGACCCATGGGGCGAAGGTTGGAGTTTCTGCAAGGCTGGTCTGGCCAGGTCTCTGTAGTGAGAGTTCTGGAGAGATCCTGGCTTGAAGGCCCAGCCCGCTCGGCATCATCATGATTCGTGATGACGACGGCGCTATCGAACGATGATGCTGATGACGACTCGGGAGGTTATGGTGCCAGTCATGTTAACCACGAAAGCGAGGGTGACGCTAGCAACAGTAGTACTAGTGATGACAGCGGTGATGACAGTGATGATGCCGACGATCACGCAACATCACCCATACTACCAATACTACTTCCACCGCCAAGTCTCTCATGGTGGTCCTTGAAACAACCACTTGCAAAACGTGGGCTGAACAGGATGGCTTTCATAAGATCGGTATTCGCACTTAGGGCTTATACGCCCAAGTACAATCCATAGGCTAGACTATACCAGACTCATACTGTGTAGACGAACATGCTGAAGTCGGGAATTGCTGTCCCCCTAGGAACTACACCGCGAGTCAGAGTGAAACGCTAAGCCCTCGCCAACCGAAGCCCTTTACAGCCTTGGCATGTTGAATGAAGCTATTGCAACTCCTGTGTCTCATATGTACCATGTAAATAGCATGTACTACTTCTATCTGATATAGCTGAATATCTTTGGCAGATGTACTGACCCCGGAAACTTAGTGCAGGGCTTCTCCATTGAGACCTGGCTCGGCCAACGAGCTTCATTGGTGGGGTGATCTGTCTGTACTACAGAATAAGACGTCTGAAAGCTTTAGCAATAACAACAATGACAATCATGATAAACATGGAACTACTGCTGCTACTGCTACTGCTACTGCGACTGCGACTGCTACTGCGACTGCGACTGCGACTGCGACTGCGACTGCGACTGCTACTGCTACTACTACTACTACTACTACTACCACCACCACCACC